TAAAGTTTCTAATGTATGCAAAAAACCTGAAGTCGGCTTAAACAGACCACCCTCCAATAAACAATTAACATATCGTCGTATAAAGTACAAAACCGCGTATCAACAAAATGCAAAACTGCGTATGTGAAGTTGCATAAATTATTTCCTAGAGAGTAAAAACACTCATATTTCAAAATTATTATCTTTTTTATAAATCAATCGCATTTCTTGCTAGCATATTTCTGGACGGATGGATAAGGCTCGAGCCAAGAGCTTGTGTGAGAAAATCCAATTTTTGGCAAAAAATGTCAGTTACGCGGTTTTGCAGAACGACGATACGCGGTTTTGTACTTTAATACTACGTTCAAATTGATGAGCTAAACATGTTAAATGGGCTTGAACCAGTTAAATGAACAAAAGAAGTTCATAAACTATTTAAATCCCATGCAATTGTTGTTGGAAAATTTAACCGGTTAAATCTTTAACTCGTTTGAAAACCAGTTCAGCGCAGAGTTGTATCAGAAAGCTTTCTGCTCCGGCCAATCAGAAAGACCCAAAGCTTTCATTTGACACGCCAACGTTCAAAAAATGTATATTCAGGAAATTATTAAAAATTATCAAAAAATATCATAATTGTATGCATGTCTGCCTGTCTAAAAAGAGGCCCAGGCGGTAATTAGTTATTTCCCATGAGGTCTCATCGTACGCAGAGATAAATAGTGCATACGAACTAAACATTTTGAAGTCTCTAAGTTATCCGTATGCGTTAATATCAAGAAGCAGACATTCGCACAAAACAAATTGAAACACAAAGACTTTATTTTGAATATTTGTTTCGAATTGTTATTGGTAATCAAACAACCGTCAAGGTTAACTCCAAATGTTCAATGTGGACGATTGTGTTTTCCAAAAAGCTCTTTTTCATTTAACAAGTTAAACGGGCCAATTTGAACGTAGTATAAACGACGATATGTAAGTATAATTTTGATCACTTTCCTCATGCGTTCTGAACCCTAGTCATTAACCCCATTTTCGAAATTATGTAGGCGGTATAATTTTAAAGTCCATCATATTCCACATCTTTGAATGTACAGATAAAATCTTCTGCTTTCAAAAAAATATTTTTTCTAGTGATCAGGTAGCATGAATTTGATGAAATGTCATAATTTTATTAAAAGTCAAATGGTTAACAACAACGAATGTCATTAAATGGAACTACCTTCTTTTTTGTATCATGGATACGTATACATATGTATATTAAAAATGAAGTGATCACCCCGCAAACATATTCTGAGCGTTCAGAATATATGAGTCCGAAAGGTGTCCTAGGTAGGTAAGAAATATGAGCTTCAAAAACAAAAAAATTTTTACTCTTATATGAATCTTTTAGGATTCATATATGAGCCAAGTTATGAGCCAGCACCTTGTGCCAATATAAAAACAATAAAGATTTGAAATTTATATCTAAACTTGTTTATACAGAAATTGAAAATAATTAGAAAACAAAAAATGAACAAAATTTAGCTTCAGCTGCTGCTATTGAATGCATGTTGGAATGTGTATATGCATGTAAGTATGTATGTATGTTATTTGCAAGGACTTTTTGCGGAATGCCTTTGCAAATATAGTGAGTTGAATAAGACTCAAAGAGCAACCTAAAATAAGAGTCCGAATGTAGCAATTTATGAGGCCGATAAGGGTCTCAAAAAGAGTCATATATGAGGCCAAAACTTGTTTTAAAAGAGTCCAAAATGAGCCGTATATGAGGCCAATAAGAATCCAATATGACTCATATTGAGGCTCATTTGATGTATGAATTTAAGCTCATATAAGTCGACATTCGTAGGAAGGGAAACACACTCATATCGGACTCTTAAATGAGCTCATTATGAGCGTAATAGCTCCGAAATATGACTCCTTAAAGACTCATTTATGACTCCAAATGTTTTCGGGCAGTTAAGAAATATATAAATCTTTACATGTGCTGTAAAAAAATATCTAAAATAACAAGCAAAAATGCCCAAGTTCTATATCATAGCAGTGGCCACATTGCGTGTTTGTCACAGACACGGTTTATGTCAAAAATTTTTAAGTGTAACTACCTTTTAAAAACCATTGTATCATGGTCTTCCCTTGCCGCAGAGCTCCACAGGCAAACACCGATGGCCTACCAACTGTCATTTTGTCGAGAAATATGATTGCAAGTATTTGTGTGTGGGCTCTTTGATGTCTTGAAATAAGCATTTGCCGCATGACGCCACCAGACAACATTCTCTCAATTTCGGTGTTTAAAACTTAAAAAACTTGCTGAATAATTTCCTAAAACGTAATCATAAATAATCCAATAGGGAACAGATTTTTATTTTCCAAATTTCATCGATGTTACCACAAGCACGCTTTCTTTCAAATCAAAATATGGCTGTCAAACTATTGAATTGCCTGCAATAGATGTCACGCAATATTCGTTTACACATTTCTGATAAATTTCTCCAGCGATTTCACTTTATAAACTTGATAAAGTGAAGCCAAAGCAACTCTGTCGCAGCTCTAGCTATGTTTTCTTGGGCAATAATCGTGATCCGCATACAAATTTTGCAGGCAAATTCAACAACAACGATATGATCCTGATATAAATCCGGTTCAATTATTATCTTTTCTGGTTTTCACTGATCATTTGGCCGCAAAGTTTAGTAGCCGTTTAGAACCCTGTGATCTTCCAAAATTTCCACGATTCGAACATGGTTTAAAGAGAAAAAGTGGTAACATTGCTTTTTCGAGTATACAGTTGCTAGCTGCGTTTCAGTGATCGCCGATTGAGATTTCTTTTATTTTACATTACATATTTGGATAAAGAAAAGTTAAGCAAATTTAACATCGATGTGATGCTGATAGAAATCTGGATCAATTTGTGATCACTCTGTTTGGTTTGTTTCCTAATTAGGTGAGGAAATTTTAATTGACAGCACCGACAAATGAATATATACACAAACAAATGTTTGNGAATATAAATGAAAAAATAATACGCGAATAAAATTAATTAATTTCAGCCGATAACTGTATTGACTTAGGTCTCCGGCTAATTTTCGGCATTTTTAGTTGTATTTTAGCCAAGAGTGATAGAGACAAGATAGCGGGGGGTTATGGAAAATATTACGAAACAAAAATTGCGTCCGCCATTGGGTTTTTGACGTTTGCTAGCTTTTTGAGTTTACTCTCTCGAAATAATTCTAATGTCAAAGAAATTCAAAATAAACAAATGAAAATTTATGATTTGAAATATTTATTTATTCAGAAGTTGAAAAAACTAAAAAAATTGGAGACGAGAAAACAGTTGCTGCTTTAACGGCTGCTGAAATTTCGTTGTCCTCTGCAAGCACAGCAATGTCAAGTTTTTTAAGTTCCCGCAATCACCGTACAAAGGCAAAAATGGATTGAGGTTTGTGGTGGTATGAAATGTTTTTATCATGTTTTTACCCTTAAACAATTCTCAAGTAGAAGTAAAAAACGCCGCAGGAACTTTAAATTTACCGTAATTCGCTATTAATTTAATAAAAATTACCGTTTTTGGCATTTTGTTTATTAATTATTTTTATAAATCATATATTTTTACAGTTTAACACAATTCAACCGCCTTTCCTATCGAAAACTGGAATATTAAGAAAATAGACCCCTCTGACAGTTTATTTTAACCTCCTGTTGTTGTTGTAGCAGCATACAAGCTCCCCAAAGAGTTTATGGGGAGTGTTGCTGGAGTGACAGTCCTTGGCCAAATATATATCTGGGTCGTTCCGGTTACGTAGACCCGACTGTCGTGGGAAGCATCTTAATCGGCTTTGCATACTTTTAATGGAGAAATGTCATCGCCGCCGGGAATGCGCATACTTGTATTCTATAAGTATTGTAAGAAATGTACAGTTTTGAGAGTTTATTTATACTATTCGCCTTTGTTTACTTTTATTTGAGAAATGAGATGGTTGGCGCATTCAGAGTACAGCTACTTTGTCCTTGGCGAATTTGACAGAATCAGCTGTTCGTGGGATGTCATGATAGAAGTGTCCGCATTTAGTATTGTTATCGTATGGATGGTTTCTTCACCCGATCTACTATTTTTTGTTCAGAAAGTAGATGAATACAACTACGATTTGTTTGCAATTGGCTACTGACGGCATTTTTTTCTCCTTCATCTCCCCTTTTCGTTGCTTTCAAATTGTTTGTCAAATTGAAAAATTATTATATATTTTTTTTTAATTAAACAGTTTTATAAAATCCCAAAAGATGGCTGGAACCACGATTCAATAATGAAAGGTTTTGTAAGAAAAACTTTCTCTCACTCTAATTTTATCAATGACACTCCCACCCTACTCCTAAAAACAAAAACAGTGATATTTCTTTTCCAAATGTCTTTGGAAGTTTTAATAAAATTTTTAAATTGTTAGTAGTGAAATTTTTACTTTTTAAATTTGAAGAAATGTTTGTTCTTCATTCGCTGGCGCCAACAAGACAAAATGGGTGAGAATCGTTGGACTACAGAAATTCAATGTAGGCTAAAGAGACGAAATTCCCTTAAATGCCGAAATGTATTTGTCGATATTCGTGGAGACCTCTTGATTTTGCTTGTGTTTAAATTAAATAATTAAATCAAATTCGTTTTTGTTTTAAAATACCACCATTCACTATTATCCACACCTTTTTATGGAATTTAGCTCCCATTTTAGGAAGTGTGATTGAATTCTTCCCATTTTTCTCCTGCCTCCACAAACCATCCCTGTGGGTGGGAGTGCTAAATTTTAGAAAAAAGCTACTTACAAAACCTTTAATAATTGAATCATGGCTGGAACCACAAACTGATTCTCGCTGCTTTCAACTTGTTTGTCAAATTGGAAAATTACAACTAATTTTACAGAAAATAATTGTATTGCCAACTATTTTTTAATTTACCCTTTGCATTTTTCGTCAAGTGGCAGGGCTCTCATCTGCTATTGACGTCGTTGCGACGAATACCTGAATTCAAAGATGGCGACCATCTTTTCGCTCGTGTGAGTGCCATTCGTACGTGTATCTACAAAATTTGGGAAGATCCTGCAGACTGCAGTAATTTTAAAGTAAAGTAAAATAGTTTTTTGCAGAGTAAATAAAATAAAAAAGTTACTGAAAATACCAGAAAGGTGTGTATCGCGTCTTGATCATAAAAACATGGTGGAACTAGTATTGCTAATACAAAGTACTTGATAGCTAAATGTGCATAAAATTTTTTTTTGTGGCTAAGGTGTGGAAATTGGTAAATTTTCATTCGGAAAGTTCGCTAATGACCCGTGGCATGTCGCTTCTCTAGTAAGTGCTCGCGTGTGGACCTAAAGAAAAAACCATATTTTTCTTATAATCAAATTGATTTCCTGGGCATTTGTTTTAAAAATAAAACTCATAAAAATCGGGCCAAGTCGACAGACAAAAAAACTGCAGATACATCATATGTATAAGTAAAAGAGGAAGAAGAAATCGCGTCGAAGTTCGTGTGACGTCGACTTCAATGCTTCTGAGTCGGCCTTGATACTGCAGCGGTTTGTCAATGTATCCGATCCGTACGAAGCATCTGAGTCTAATGTTAAAAGAGAAATCCAAAATTTTTGATATTCCCAAAAGTGACCGATCCCATGTATAGAAATAGTCCATTGTTTGCAAACCTTATTCAAAACTTGCTACAACTTAATACTGGAATTTGGGAATAAGAAAAATTAATTATATAAACGGTAAGTGGAGAAGGAGAGTCGCGATGAAAATAATCGATAATAAGAAGGCTGCTCCAGGTTTTTTTATTTCTACATCCCAGTTTACGAAACTCGTAATAGTTTATTTAGAGTTTACATAAATGGTTACTTTTAAATGGCGAAGTCGAGCAGGTTTTGGTACTTTGATGAACATACTAGATATGTAAATACATATGTATTAACATACTTTTGTATATATTTATTCAGTTCAAAATATTCTCTACATGCTTAAAGTTTAGCACAATTATTATTCTTTAATTTTTAAATTTGTTATTTGCGAAGTAATTCTTTAGAGTTTTGTTTTTATTCACCCACAGTTGGAATACACAATTTTCACTAACATAGATATTTAAAAGAAGTAGGAAAACATAACCAGGTTTCTTTGTACATCAAAAAAATAAATGTTGGCGAAGCACATACAAAGCAGTTAAAAAGAAAGGTCAAATTGGTATTGGAAAACTAGTTTGTTGTCAAAATCCGCAGCAGGTATGAAGTATATGTAGGCATTAAGAAGTATTTACTGACTAAGGTTTACATTTGTTTTAATAATTAGTAAGGTTCTAAAGGGGGTGGGTTAGGCGTTTCTTAATTTACAAAAGCACTGTTCTGAGGAAACAAATGTGACAGGTAGATACGTATGTATACATATATGTACATAGAACGTCATACGGAAATGTATTGCAACATACTATGTACATACTTACTTACATACGTGTATAACATGATTTGAGTATTGACCTAAAAAATTGGAAAAATTTGTATTAGATGCAGCCTTTGTAAGCTGTTTTGACCTACCTTCTTGATTTCATATCTAAATAATCCGAGTAGGTAACTAGTTTATGTAAATCACTACAAGGTTGTTAATTATGTACTAACATTTTTTATTTTATAAAATTTCTTTCTTTTCTATATTTTATAAGAACTGGAATGATGCGTTCTACTTTAATATATAACATTGAGCACATAGTCATAATTTTTTTGGAGAACCTCATTTCCTGTAAGAATGGGATTTGTAAATTTCGAAGAAGAACACCTATGCCACTGCTTGAACGCATGGTCGCATGCAAAGTGAGCAATTTTCAAAGTTCTTCTTTGTGCTTTTATATCATGATGGAAGCGCATAGGATTCTTTTAGCTGGTGACAAATGTACAGTCAGAGAACTTTTTTACAAAGATCCTGCGAAATGTTGCAAACCTGTCAGTATTTATAATAGTTTAAAAGATGTCTGTACACTTTTAAGAACAACTCCATGGAATTTGGGAATTTGCGCTTCTGGAAAAGGATTAATAGCAGGTTGTTTTTCTAAAATAAATTTCTACTTATCCATTTTTATTATTTCATTGTTTTATTTTTGTAGGTGCGATCCGCTTGCATATGATAAATGGTGACGTGATCGACTGCTATACTCATGGCGGTGCTGTTGTACTTCCACAAGATCAGAATTCCATCGATCGCTTGGAAACAACAGCCTCATTTGTATTACTTGTAGAAAAAAATACCGTATTTTCAAAACTCTTATCACAAAACCTTTTCGGAGTTATTGGTGTAGATGTGATATTAGTCACCGGTAAAGGATATCCAGACTTATGTACGCGCTACATCCTAAATCGTCTTTCTACCGAGCACAATATTCCAGTCTATGCACTTTTCGATGCTGATCCATTTGGTATTGATATTTTATTGGTCTATCAATTTGGATCCAAAAAAATGACACCAGATATATCAATGAATTTAATATGTCCAGGTATGCGCTGGTTAGGCATACATCCAAGCGAGCTTAATATGTTTAACTTTTCAAGCGCGGCGCTAAGCGATAAAGATAATAATAAACTTGAAAAAATGTTGGCATACAACTATTTAATACCCAGTTTGCACGCAGAATTGCAAATTTTACAGATATTACAACGGAAAGCTCATATCGACGACTTAAATGATATCTCACAAAATTTTCTTATAAACGACTACATTCCAAATAAGATAAAAAGAAATCTTGTTATTTAAGCAGAGAAGTATTTTTTAAAAGAAAACAAACATTCAGATACAACGTTAAATTGAAATGAATTCATTTTTAAGTTGAATAAATACATGTACGTAATATGTTTATACTGATTTTGATTTTATAATCATAAAGGAAGGGTGTTGCTTCGACGTAGCGAGATTAATTAACTATATTGATTTAGCCCGAAGCAATATTTGTAAGTGTACTATAACGAACCTAAATCCTACCTTATTTTATAAATTCGAAGTTTTGTTATCTATGTAGGCACTTATGTACATTTGTTTGTTAAGTGCCAGTTTTACAGCGACACGGTTAAATCTAACTGCGGTTTTAAACTTATTTAAACGCTCGAACTAGTTGGCAAGTGCAACAATGCGCAAGGTTAAGTGTCAGGTGTCTGTGAAATGAGATGATATTGCCACACAGTAAACAAACATGGTTTGTATTACCATATTTAACAAAAAGAAAAAAAGTGGATAGTTATTGGATGGAATGAACCTTTAAACCTTTATGAGAAGTGGTTGGGTTTTCGGTTCGGATCAAACATTTGTGGAAACTTTCGGTTCGGTTAATGGTTCAGTTAATTAATAGAAAAAAGCCGGTTCACGTCCCTGGTTTAGACTAAGATTAGCCAATCAAATGTCAGTCATCTGTCACTGAAACCTAGCTCTTAAATAGTAAAATTTAAATTTCTGATTTATAATTTTTATGATATATAGGTATACATATATACATGTCAAATCTTTTATTGTAACTTAAAATGCACATTGAAATTCATCTGTAATGCTAATCAACAAAAAGTTATACTTTCACGTAGATTGTAAATAGGAAAACCCCTTTTAGGAGGTATGCAGTAAATCATTTCTGCAGCCATTCTTGGGTAAGCCTTTTAGAATAGCTTCACTTAAGAATGACTACATTAATAATCTTTTGGTTAGTTACACCAAATTATTTTTATGGGAGAGTGGCCTACTTGCCAAAACTTACTGCCAATTTCACGAAATCAATTTAAGTGAAACATTTTCTTTATTGAATTACTTAGATGTCTAAAGTTGAATATGGGTCAGACATTATGAAAGATTACACAGATTATACAGATTTATTTTTAGATACAAGTTTAATAGGTGTAATGTAGTTAAGAGTAAATACGAAAGGTATCAACGCACATTGAAATCTATCAAACCAAGAATGGACGAGCAGTCAATTCAACCTGAGACAATGGCAAGAAGAAATGACAAAGACAGCAAATTATTTCTTCTTAGTTAAATAAAATATAACAATATGATATTGTTACGGATTTGATAAGTTATCGACAAATGTTGGTCATCTGATGTAGTTTCGCAGATACTGAAAATTCTTTAAAGATGATTACACAGACGCAAATATGTGTGGAATACTGCAAAAAGGCTAATGAGCAGTATTCTCTCAGCTTTGTTATGCATCTGGCTCTACCTAGCATCCATTTAGGACTTCTTGTGAAACAAAAAACCAGCAGAAATATGTTCTTATTGCACGAAATTTTAATATTATTATATAGTTAATTTTTTACATATTCTTTTTCCATCTTAGCCACAGCACAAAAAGTTAAAAAAGTCAAAAACAAAGAAAAGAAAAAACATTCCTTAAACGAACCTAACCAATTACCGATATTTTTTAAAATACTTCTTTTAAATACGTACAAATTAAACATTTTTGTTGTCTTTACAGATGGTCGCTAAATTGATCTAGTGATATTGCAGCTAAGGCTTGGTGAACATCTATTTATGTAAGATTACACATTTTTGGTGTTCACTGATGCCAAAATCTAAAAGAAGTAAAACAGCAAGACTGTTGGTACAGCGCGCGAAGAGCTAAAGCAGCTACAGCGAAGAAATTCGGGAACGGCACACACACACACACATACACAACCAATATACATAGAAATAATAAAAACAGCAAAAGGCAACCATTTGCGCAATCCCTCTCCATTTTTGTCTTCTACTAGTTTAAATTTAAATTGGCGTTGTTTGAAATAAAATGTCTGCTACAATGCGAGCGACATTACAAACAGTTCCTGAAACCCTACCAACCGAGCATGTGTCCTCCACAACGGATGCGGCTGCGGTGTCATCAAACACCCCAACGACAAATTCTTTAACGGCCATTACCTTAAACACATCGCAGCAGCAATACAATAGTACCATAAATGGTTCAGTGCATTCAGTCAAGGACCAGCAACATGACTCGGCAAATGCCAATATTATTGCACTGCCACAAACCACAACAACTAGTGTTGTTATTGCAACAACAACAGCCACCACACCAATCGCTGCGGCTAATGTTACAGCAAATACGACTGTCAATATTACATCCCAATCACAACCACAACAACAGCAGTCACAGCAGCAGCAGCAGCAGCAACAACAAACGCATCAGCACCAGCAACAACAGCAACACAGTCACCAGCATCAACATCATCATCACCTTGTGAATAATGCTACTACAACAGATGGTGGTGGACGATTGCCTCCCAATAATACGTCTACAACGGCGGCCGTTATAAATCACCATCAACATCACACCTCCGGCATAACAAGTGTTGGAGGTGGTGGTGGCGGCGGCGGCGGTGGCAGTGGTGTTGGTGTTGCACCGCTGCCCGTTAATAAAAACATTTTGGCTTCGCACTCGAATTCAGCGACGATGAAGCAACGAACATCTTCGGCTAAGGTAAGTGGCCTTCCGTTATTAATTACATACACACCACATATACATACATATATATCTGTTGCCAGTTATGCGACATACTACATTTCACGTAGTTGTTGATTAGATTTCATTGTGAAACCTTTATCAACGATAATCTTCCAATTCATACTTCTAAGCATCAAATCCCTAAATAGTTCCGTTTTTAAATCGGTAATTCCTGCAAAACACTTGCTCTTGCATATAAATGTGTATGGAGCCACACACAAGTGTGTTAATTTATTTTCTTACATACATAGCTGTGGATGGTAGCAGTTTTTCAAAGGATATTGAAACTTAATTGGGGAATACTAATATTTAACGAAAAGATCCTTGAAAAACTTACTGCATTGAAAGCAGAATTTTTTAAATTGAAATATGTATGTTATTTCAACAAATGTAAATTTTTATGTATTTGAGTACGTACTTGCATACCTGTGTGTTGCATGTGTGCTTATGTGTATGAAGCAAGTGTATATGCAGGAAATATTCATTTTCTTGTGAAAAAATTTGTTGGTTTAGTAGTGTCAATTGCATTTACCATAAATATACTACATATTCATACATACCTACTAGTATATTCGATGTGTTCTACTATATAGTTGTTCTGTGCGCTTTCATTTGTAATTTTTTTTACATACATACTATATGATTCACAAAAAGGGTAACGGTAAAAAAAAACTGTTCTATTTCAAAAGTGTTTCCGTACTGTTTCATGTCCCCATATAAGACAGATATGGCATACATATATATATATAATAATTCATGAACTACATGCTTATGATATATTTGTATGGATGTGCGTAATCATTTGTTTGAAATGTGCTTAAGATAGCAGGTGCTTGGGTAGTGAAGATAAACTATTTAAATAAAAAAATCTATACAGATTTTGATAATGGACGTACTGGAAACAAATGAACTGATTAAATAAATGCAATGACAAGAGAACTGCAAGCAAATCACGTGGGGGGTTGAACTCTACTGCTAGCTAAGAGAGTTGTTTTTCTTTATGTTTGCTACGGAAAGCAAGATGAAGCTTAAAATAAATTGTAATAAAAACCACATTTTCATAAAGTATACGTATGCCATAAATTCTGATAAAGGATTTTCTAAACATCAGGCTTTTTGAATGGGGACGCCCAACACCGCACACCTTTTCGCATGCCCCGATGAAATTGTTTAAGGAAACAGGAAAGCAAGGCCACGGAGTTGGATATTTGTAGATCCATGCCATGGTTATTCTATGATGACCTCCTTTACTATCACCATCGGTGACTGTAGTCTTCCACAAAAACCCATTGGACAGTTTGCATGCGGTTATAACAGTAACATCGCATACCTTCAGGACTGCAGCATTTGCATTCATCCCGAACGACATCGTAGCCACTGTATCTTTATTCGGTTCACTACCGTTATGTCGTTATAAAGCCTCTACGGCTCTTAGCTCCATCGTCTCGGGTACTCGCTGTCTTAAACAGCCATATATTTTTCGCAGAATCTTTCTTTCATGTCTATTGCAGAATTCGCAACGCCGAGCTTTCCTCGTCTAGTTAGACCAGTCATCCAGAGGGAGAAGCCTTTTAGCGGTTTATATAGATAGAGTAAATGCTATCTCCGATTGTCACTGAGTTAAACTTACGATCTTAGGCTCGCACAAACGGCGCGTGCCTTCATTCAAAAAAGTGGTTGTTGTTGTTACCGCATAACAGTTTTGGATATAAATTTTTATCGTTGGAGTCAATGAAGTCACAGGGAGCTATCACCACAACATGATCGATCTGGTTTCTCGTTTCTAAAGACAGCCACGTAGCTCTTTTGGTGCTGGAAGCTAAAAAGTGCCATGGTTCGGGCCTATTTTCGTTATCGAAGGTTTCGTCGCGGACACCGAATTTTCCGCCTATTGAACTAAAGAAGCCTTTGAAAGCCCACCCTGATATCGAACGTGCCAAGTACGATTTTGAGGGCGTGAGGGGTGTTATCCTTTACTGTCGGGGCGTGGAAGAAAATTAGCAATTTGTTTAACAATATTGCTTTGATACGAATTGTTGCGAGACTCCCGTTTACCGGAGTCAACGCAATACTTGGCCGAAGACTCACTTCCACTTGGCTCCGGACTTGTACTCTTTTACATGACAGCTCTAATAGACATAGCAAGATCATGTGGTGTTCTTATCTCCTCGTCCATCACATTTCTCATAGGAATTTCAATAAGTAGAAACGACTGCCGCGATAAATAATTTTTTATTGAAAAAGCCTGAGTTCTATTATGAAGATTGCATGGTGTTTAGATGAAGTTAAGGACCTTTTTTTAAATATATAAACATGCATATTACATTGTATCAAAAAGAACAAGTAAACTCAGACGTGAGCTTATTGCGTTTCGGCGCCATCGCTATATGTTGTTTTCCTAACTGCAAATTCTTATAAAGATTATACTCACTTAGCTCTAGATTCTAATAAATTATATGAATATTTTATCACGCGTTTTATTTTTTTAACTATATCAAATGATGTACAAATATGATACTATCCTTATATCATCAGAAGGGCAGGAGATTTGTTTAATAAGTATGTGTAAGCTCATGCCTACGTAATTGCTTGTATATACTTACTTATGTACATTTGTCCACCTATGGCCAAAATAATAGAAACTCGTTATTTTTACCAGTTCTGATTACTTTTATTTTGTTTGTTCAATTTTCATAAAGGTTTTATAAAAGTATAGTGAAGTGTATAACAAAAACTATATAAATCGAAATTTCCAGCTTTATGCAAAAATTTGAAAAATTTAATCTATCACAATTTAATTAGAATTTCTAAAAAAAAATGTTTATGTAATTTTCTAGCCTATTTAATTTTAGTATAACAAAGTGCAAGTTTGAAATGGCTGAAATATTCCGCTGATTTTTGAATTTTTTTTTTAAGCTGACGGTGGGTGCATTTTTTTCCAAGTAAAAAAAAATTGTAAAATTTTTATATGGAAAAAATTGCGTGACACAATCGGCAAAAAAACTATCAAAATTTAAGGGGATTATTAGCCACTCCAAACTTTCACTTTGCATGCTTTCCAAAACGTCAAAATACAAAGCATCAGTCTCTTTTTTATTTTTAAACCGCACTAGAAGAAAAGGCCTAATTCTACTATACTTTTATAAAAATTTAATGAGCATTAAACAAGCAAAAGAAAAATAATCAAAACCGGCCCACATAGCGAGTTTCTATTATTTTGGCAATAGGTGTATGTGTACAAAACAGATTTACAGCCATGAGAAACATATCTAAAAGTTCTTTGTATATCATTTATGTATGTATGTATGTACTTACCCTTTGGGTGGGCTGAATAAGTTAAGTGACATTTTGACTAGTTTTGGTTATTTTTCTTTTGTTTGTTTAATGTTTTTATTTTTTTTTTTTAAGTCTAGCACTTTACCTAACCAGCGCCACATAAAACCACATTTCAAACTTCGTACAAAAATTATGAAAATTCAACAAACTTTAACATTTGCACCCAAAATTTTTAACTTTTTATTCAGGTATGCAGTTTAGTAGCTCATTAAATTTTAGTAGGTTTAAGTGTAAATTGCAAGACGCTAGAAAATCGCGTTGAATTTTGATCATTTTTTTGGCGGACGGTGTTGTGCATTTTCTTCCATATAAAATATGCTCGACAATTTCGTTTGTATGGGAGAAAATGCCTAACACCATCAGCAAAAAAAAAAAAAATTTTACAAATCAACGCGATTTTCTAGCGTCTTTAAATTTACACTTAAACCTACTAAAATTTAATGAGCTAAAAAACTGCACACCCAATTTTTTTTTTTAAATTCTGAATAATACATTTAAAGTTCTTGGGAGCAAATGTTAAAGTTTGTTGAATTTTCATAATTTTTGTACGAAGTTTGAAATGTGGATTTATCCGGCGCTAGTTAGGTAAAGTGCTAAACTGTTATAAAAAAATATAAACATTAAATAAACAAAAGAAAAATAGCCAAAACTAGTCAAAATATTACTGAACTTAATCAGGTGACCACAAGTGTATGTATGTACATATTTATGTATACACGTAGTTTAAGTAATAAATAAGATACGATATAAAAGGTAGACTGCTCCAGAGCGATTGTGACCAGTGTGTTATGACAAGAAAAAATTACCCAAAGGGTTGGATTACATTAAATGACGCAAATTCATATTACTTTGTAATCATTTGGTGCAAATTTTACTCGTTTTTTAAATTATAGCATTTAGCTAACATCTTGACCTCCTTCACGGACGTTGTTATTGCAGGTTTCCCAAACAAATTTTTCTCTCTTTCGATCTCTTTTTCTAAACGTATTGAATGCAACTTACTACGATTTTTTTTTAGTTTGAGTGAGGTGATGTTGGAGGTTGGGGTCAGTTTATTCAATAATTTGTGTGGTAATAAATTTTGGTAATAAATCGACTTCAGCGCCACCTTGTGGGTTAACCCCTTACAAAATTATTTCTCTTTGTGTTACATGCATACATATGTATCTGGCGAGCAGATTTTTTCATGCAGACCTTGTCTTTTTAATGACGAACACAACAAAAGAAGAATGTGTCAAATCGTTTCAGCTGTTCTCAAATGATGATGTCAGATGCAAATAGTAAATGACGTTTAATATTCATCATTTATTCGTAAAATAGGTGGATGACGCTGAAATGCGAGTTAAGACAAACATCTAAGAATCTGTTAAAATGTTAGGGATGTTTGTTCTTTAAAATTGTAGGGCAAAGTTAGTTTCCAGTTTTCTGAAAATTCTGGAAAATTTGCAAAAATTCTGGTTGGTGGCGTAACCGATCTTTACGTCCGGATTTAGTAAACTATTTAACAGTGAGAATATTAAAAATCGCCCTACTTATTGCTCGTATTTTGTTGACCGGTTTGCTTAGCTCCTAGTTCGGTACACATGTATTCACTTTTATTTTATCGGTTGGTTCGAAAACCGATCTCCTTATTTCACACT